GTGGAAAGTTGGAGTTGCTAGTACCATTAAAGCTACCAATTAAATTTTTTACCAAAAACTTAATCTAAATTGGGGTCGTTTGCTTCTTTTGTTAATTTTTTTTTGTTTCTTTGAAATTATTTGTTGTAATAATATTTGAATAATATGACATTAAGATATTATGTTATTTTTATTTGTTTTTTACATCAGAAAGTTCGTTTGTATATTTCTTAATTGTTTTTAGTTCTATTTCTTGATAACCCATTCCTTTATTCAATTTAATATAAAAATATTTATTTGAATACTATTTCATGTAAATGTTTGTTTAAGGTTTCAAAAATAAATCATATAGTTTTAAATTGTAAAAACAAGTTAGAGGACAACTCTCAATCTTAATTTGTAACTAGAAGGAAGAAGATTCTATTGATAGAATAACCAATGTAAAAATAGAATACATTTTTAAAAGTATATCTTTTTATTGGTTTTTTGATGACGTTTTTCTCCACTTCTCTTAAAAATTAACAAAATGATTTGAAATGGAATAAATATAAACAACCAACTAACTTGTTTTGAGTTGAATAGTTATTTCTGAAATTTGATAAATAAAGGTAAAATTTTATCAAGTCAAATTTGAGAAGAATAGAATAATGGTATCAGAATATAAAATAGAACTAAAAGTATTTCTATGAGATCTTCAACTACAAAAAGAGTAAGACATGAGTGTGAAAGTCTCTGATTCTGAAAGACTTGCAAAGAAATATATAGAAACAAGAAATTATCTTGTTCATCAACAAGCTGTTTTAATAGGTTTATTAAATAGATATTATGATATAAATTTAAAAAAATCAAGAAAGGTTTCTGGAAAAGCAGAAGGATTAATAAGAATTCTTTCAATAGAAGAACATGGTGATATTATTGATACAAGAGAACTTGTTGAAAGTTTTTGCAGAAGAAAAATGGAAGCAGATATAATGAATGGGATAAGTTATAAAACTGCTTATAGAAGATTCACAAATAATAAAATATCTGAAGCACATCACTTCTTAATGGATACACTCCAATTACAAGGATATGAATATGAAAGTTTTTATTCTTCTGGGAAGAATAATAGTAATCGAACTGAAACATTCACAAAAATATTTTGTGATAATGAACTTTTATTTGATAAAGACCAAATTGAGGCATGTGGTAATGAAATTAACTTATGGCTCAATAACCAATTAAAATCTTATAAATCTCTTAAGTTACAAAAGGATGACAAATGTTTACAATGTATTCTTTCATTATTTTAAACTGTAAACTACAACAGATTATTGTGCAATAAATTGAGCAATCTTTATTACTTTTAGTTTTCTATTTTTAAAATCAAATAACAATAATAATAATAATAATGATATATAAAACACAATAACAAAAAATTAAAAAAAAATTTTAACAAAAACTCAAAAACAAACAAAAAAAGAATGAATAATTTTTCAGTTATCATGACGTTGAAATAAATATAGAAAAAATAATAATAAAATATAATAAAACAAAGTTTTAATTAAAAATAGTTAAAATAGAAAATTCTTTCTCTGAGAATATTAATAAAAATAAATGAATGAGAAAAAGATGTCGTATTAGAAATTTCTTTTTCCACTGGTATTTGAAGAACTTTCAAAGAACTAATTACATTCATGTTTAATATTCTTTTACTTGTAGTTGCTGCATCAGCTATTGACTTTAAGAGTTGGGCTGCTAAAAACAATAAACACTTCACTGCTGTTGAAGCACTCAGAAGAAGAGCTATCTTCAATATGAATGCTAAATTTGTTGCTAAATTCAATAAAGAACATTCATTTGAATTAACTGTTGAAGGACCATTTGCTGCTATGACAAATCAAGAATATAATAACTTATTGAAAGCACAAGAAACTGAAGTAGCTGCTGACTCAGTTTATGATAATACTATTATTGGTGATTCTTCAAAAGATTGGAGAGCTGAAGGTAAAGTTACTCCAGTTAGAGATCAAGGAGGTTGTGGATCATGTTATTCATTCTCATCACTTGCTGTTCTTGAATCAAGATTATTAATCGCTGGAAGCAAATACAATCAAAATAACCTTGATCTTTCTGAACAACAAATTGTTGATTGTAGCACTGCTAATAATGGATGTAATGGAGGATCTCTTGCTGCTACTTACCTTTATGTTAAAAATAATGGTGTTACTGATGAAGCTTCATATCCATACACTGCTACTAAAGGAACTTGTAAAGCTTTCACTCCAAAAGTTAAAACTACTGGTTTAACTCATGTTACTCCAACTGAAGAAGCTTTAACTTCTGCTCTTGGAGAAGGACCAGTTGCTGTTTGTATTGATGCTGGTAAAGCTTCATTCCAATTATATAAATCTGGAGTTTATGATGAACCAAAATGCAGCAAAACTGTTAATCATGGTGTTGCCGCTGTTGGATATGGTACTCAAAATGGTCAAGATTATTATATTGTTAAGAACTCATGGGGATCTTCATGGGGAGATAAAGGTTATATTTTAATGTCAAGAAATAAGAACAATCAATGTGCTATTGCCTCAGTTGCTTATTTCCCAACTGGTGCTCATGATGCTAATTAAGAATAATCGATTCATCCTTTTTATTTTTTCAATTATCTTTTATTTAAAATAATAATATTTTTCTTATTTTAATTATTGCTATCAATAAAGAAATTAATATTGGTAAAAAATGGAAGAAGTATTATTGATTGAATAAAATTTATAATTACTTATTATAATAAATATAATTAATATGTATCTTGTCATTCATTATTCTAATTTATACTATCTATATTTATTAATTCAACTCCACATTTAATATGAAGAAAAATTATTGGAAGAAATAAATATTTTTCTAAGATTGATGTCGTTGATATGACACTTTGATTTAGTACAAGAGAAAAGTGACAATTATTATATTTTTCATCTTTATTATTTCTTTTATAGCAACGTATCTCTTACAATAAATGATATCAAAACTAATTGTTATTTTATAGTTAGTTGATGTCTGTGCTTTTATTGTTGAACCTTTATTTTTATTCTTTTCTGTAGAAAACAAATATTTATTTTATTTTAATCATTTACACTAATTACTTTTTGGTCTAAAGAAGTATTTCCGTTCATAGTGAGTTATTGAACAATACATTATATTTTCAAAACAAAAGAAATAGGGTTCTTTCTAGTTCACACCATTATAGATATAGTCTGAACAACTACCATTAAGAAAACAATAACCAATATTCAATATAAAATGAAAGATAAGACGTTATTATTAGAATCAAACAATTCTTGATTTTTAACGAGATAAGAAACAATGAAATATAATTATTAAATGAAAAATCAATGAAAAAACAATATAAATTTCTTTTTTAATTTTTCTAAAAAACATAAAATCAAAAACTCTCAAAACATGAACTTTTCAAATCTATTGAAAATTTTCAGAAAAGATTGATCTAACGAAACATTTCAAGTTTCTGAAAAAAAATGTCTTATTGAGAACCAACAATTTCATCATCGACATCATCACCAACACCCTCGAAATCATCATCTTCTTCATCATATTGGAATCCATTAGAGTCATCTTCTGAGTCTTCAGGAGTAGAATCATGTTTAACAAAGAACTCTGATGTTTCTTTATCTCTTGTATTAATGATGTCGTTGACGTAATGAACAAAGTCATTATTTCCTAATTTGATAAGTAATAAAATAATTTAACCACACAAAGAAAACAAACCCATAACCAATTCATAAACAGGTGATGT